ACGTCGAGTAGATCACCGTGGTATATTCATATACCCAATTTGAGCACCGTATGAGAAAGTTATTAAGGATTGTTGGTTAGGTGTTCGAATAACGTTTTATAGTTTTGGTGAAAATGTGAATTGATGATCCGACCGTTGGATCGTCACCAAACTTTGATACGTTGTAATACGTAATATTTGAGGATTATTGGAACTTACGGATTGGGAATCCGAGTTACGGATCTTCCGGAATTGGAATTGTAAGTCCATAATATAAAATGTTAACCGTCACTTAGTTTTGGAAATTGACGGAGATCCGACCGTTGGATGGTAATGAAATTTTAGGATGTTGTCCTAGAGGTATATGTGGACCTCTGGAAGTTATGGATTTAAAATCTGAGTGGCAGATCTTCCGGATCGATCAACGTAGTGACGTATTTTATATAAGTTATATATTTTATCGATATGAATTCTGAGCCTGGATTTGATTACTATTCTAGGCGGCGATCGTCATGACGCCTTGATGTGTGGTGCTAGGGAGTTGTTGGATGAACTCCAGGTGAGTGGGCAGTTTTGTTTTCCGTATATATATATATATACTTGACGTTTCCCAGAAATTGAATTGAAATGAAAATATGTTTAAAATGAAATGCATATGAGTTATGTGGAAAAACGGGAAGTGAAATACCATGCATAGAATTGATATGAAAAGTATATAGAAATGTGAGTTGAAATGCCATGCATGAATTAATATATGATGCATATGTATGAATTGGTGCGGTGGACGCACAGGTAAGAATTGATTTATGATGCATATGTATGAAATGGTGCGGTGGACGCACAGGTGAGTATTTAATTACTGTTATGATGATGATGATATATATTGAGCTCAAATCCTGCACCATGGTTTAGTGCTTATAGTATTCACCGCATCGCACGCTCGCCTTGGATCCAAGTAGATGCTAGTCGTACAGTCCACGCGGAGTGGGTACGACAGACCAGTCGCGAGAGTGTTAGTGAGATTCCGACTGGTGGGTGACCTTAGATTATGTGCACAGATGATTTATGAGAAGCACTAGAGCGTAACTTGTGTGCAGAAGGCCGGACGGGTCACAGAGGTGACTCCGGTAGAGTGATAATGATAGATTTTGAGCTCTAGGTTCAACCGTATAGGGCTATTAGAGGGCCTACGGTTGATTACTTTCTTGCACCTGATATGATTATGTTGATGCATTCATACCTTATTACTGTTGAGATGATGTGGCATGGCATAATTAATATGAGAAATGTTGAGATGACATGGCATGGCATGATTGATAAGGAGATAATGTTGAGATAGTAAAAATGAAGTTTTGAGAATATATATGTATATTTATATTTTACATTTCTGGGAAAGTATACAGGTTTTACGGAGAGGGGTTACAACGTTTTAAGAAATGTTTGGATTTGGAAAAGAATTGTTTTACTGACCCACTCAATTTTGGTTTTGCGCCCCTCCAGGTTCAGGAATCACAAAGGTGTGGTGACTACGAGGAATTCGACGGTGTTCTGACAGATTGGACAAAATTAGGACTCCCTTCGGGTGTATCAACTTATAAATTGTATCTTAAAGCTTCCGTACTGTGCAAATGGTTACGTCACTCTCACGTGACGGCCAGCATGCCCTCCTTCGGGACGGGGTGTGTCATATGTGATTTGAGATTGCATACGCCAAAAATGGTAAAAAACGAACATGCAGAGATCAAGAAACAGTTCGAAAAATTTCGACGGTTATAAACGAAAAATCACAATTTAACGGTAGTTTTAACTCCGATTTTGATGATTTTTTACAGATACACTCCTTGACCCTATATGAATACAATCAACTAACTCGATCGTCAATTTAAAGTATTTACACAAGTGGATACCACAAAATCTTAAGTTTTACTTAATGAAAATATAATTAAACTCTAAGTGTTAGTAAATCCATCGTTTTGATAGGACACACATTGTACGAAAATAGTTTCAACGATCCAACCGTCAAACTTATTTTTATATGATTCGAGATCACATACGCCAAAAATGGAAAAAAACGAACATGCAGAGATCAAGTAACAACACAAAAAATTTCGACGGTTATAACTAAAAATCACGATTTAACGGTAGTTTTAACTCCGATTTTGATGATTTTTTACAGATACACTCCTTATCCTTATATGAATACAATGAACTAATTCGATCATCAATTTAAAGTATTTACACAAGTGCATAACACAAAAGCTTAAGTTATACTTAATGAAAATATAATTAAACTCTAAGTGTTAGTAAATCAATCGTTTTGATGGGAAATGCATTGTACGAAATTAATTTCAACGAACCAACCATCAAACTTGTTTTTATATGCTTCAAGATCTCATACGCCAAAAATGGCAAAAAACGAACATGCAGAGATTAAGTAACAAGACAAAACATTTCGACGGTTATAAATGAAAAATCACTATTTAACGGTAGTTTTAACTCCGATTTTGATGATTTTTTATAGATACACTCCATGACCCTATATGAATACAATGAACTAACTCGATCGTCAATTTAAAGTATTTACACAAGTGGATACCACAAAATCTTAAGTTTTACTTAATGAAAATATAATTAAACTCCAAGTGTTAGTAAATCCATCGTTTTGATAGGACACGCATTGTACGAAAATAGTTTCAATGATCCAACCGTTAAACGTGTTTTTATATGCTTCAAGATCTCATACTCCAAAAATGGCAAAAAACGAACATGCAGAGATCAAGTAACAAGACAAAACATTTCGACGGTTATAAATGAAAAATCACGATTTAACGGTAGTTTTAACTCCGATTTTGATGATTTTTTACAGATACACTCCTTATCCTTATATGAATACAATGAACTAATTCGATCGTCAATTTAAAGTATTTACACAAGTGGATACCACAAAAGCTTAAGTTATACTTAATGAAAATATAATTAAACTCTTAAGTGTTAGTAAATGAATCGTTTTTGATGGGAAACGCATTGTACGAAATTAATTTCAATGATCCAACCATCAAACTTGTTTTTATATGCTTCAAGATCTCAAACACCAAAAATGGCAAAAAACGAACATGCAGAGATCAAGTAACAGGACAAAAAAATTCGACGGTTATAAACGAAAAATCACGATTTAACGGTAGTTTTTTGAACTCCGATTTTGATGCTTTTTTACAGATACACTCCTTGACCTTATATGAATACAATGAATATATTCGATCGTCAATTTAAAGTATTTACACAAGTGCATACCACAAAAGCTTAAGTTATACTTAATGAAAATATAATTAAACTCTAAGTGTTAATAAATCAATCATTTTGATGGGAAACGCATTGTATGAAATTAATTTCAACGATTCAACCGTCAAACTTGTTTTTATATGCTGCAAGATCTCATAGGCCAAAAATGGCAAAAGAGGAACATGCAGAGATTAAGTATCAGGACAAAAAATTTCGACGGTTATAAACGAAAAATCACGATTTAATGGTAGTTGTAACTCCGATTTTGATGCTTTTTTACAGATACACTCCTTGACCCTTTATGAATACGATGAATGTATTCGATCGTCAATTTAAAGTATTTACACAAGTGGATACCACAAAAGCTTAAGTTATACTTAATGAAAATATAATTAAACTCTAAGTGTTAATAAATGAATCGTTTTTTGATGGGAAACGCATTGTATGAAATTAATTTCAACGATCCAACCGTCAAACTTGTTTTTATATGCTTCAAGATCTCATACACCAAAAATGGCAAAAAACGAACATGCAGAGATCAAGTAACAGGACAAAACATTTTGACGGTTATAAACGAAAAATCACGATTTAACGGTAGTTTTAACTCCGATTTTGATGATTTTTTACTAATACACTCCTTGACCCTATATGAATACAATGAATATATTCGATCGTCAATTTAAAGTATTTACACAAGTGAATACCACAAAAGCTTAAGTTATACTTAATGAAAATATAATTAAACTCTAAGTGTTAATAAATCAATCATTTTGATGGGAAACGCATTGTATGAAATTAATTTCAACGATCCAACCGTCAAACTTGTTTTTATATGCTTCAAGATCTCATACGCCAAAAATGGCAAAAAACGAACATGCAGAGATCAAGTAACAAGACAAAAAATTTTGACGGTTATAAACGAAAAAATCACGATTTAACGGTAGTTTTAACTCCGATTTTGATGATTTTTTTACATATACACTCCTTGACCCTATATGAATACAATGAATATATTCGATCGTCAATTTAAAGTATTTACACAGGTGGATACCATAAAAGCTTAAGTTATACTTAATGAAAATATAATTAAACTCTAAGTGTTAGTAAATCAATCGTTTTGATGTGAAACGCATTGTACGAAATTAATTTCAAAGATCCAACCGTCAAACTTGTTTTAATCTGCTTCAAGATCTCATACGCCCAAAATGGCAAAAAACAAACATGCAGAGATCAAGTAACAAGACAAAAAATTTCGACGGTTATAAACGAAAAATCACGATTTAACGGTAGTTTTAACTCCGATTTTGATGATTGTTTACAGATACACTTCTTGCGCCTATATGAATACAATGAACTAATTCGATCGTCAATTTAAAGTATTTACATAAGTGGATACCGCAAAAGCTTAAGTTATACTTAATGAAAATATAATTAAACTCTAAGTGTTAGTAAATCAATCGTTTTGATGGGAAATGCATTGGACGAAATTAATTTCAACGATCGAACCGACCAACTTGTTTTTATATGCTTCAAGATCTCATACGCAAAAAATGGCAAAAAACAAACATGCAGAGATTAAGTAACGGGACAAAATATTTTGATGGTTACAAACAATAAATCACAATTTAACGATAGTTTGAACTCCGATTTTGATGATTTTTTTTTCGACAAAAATATTTTTGATTTAAATTTTAATAAATATTGTAATGAAATTCTAAACAATAAATAATAAACCCCAAAAGTATTCATCAATATATACTATATTGATTGATACCCACCAAAAGTATTCATCAATCTTGAAGGACCAACCAAAAGTATTCATCAAAAGTATTCATCAATATTGCAACGATGAGAGTGGTTCATTAAAATAAACAGGAAGACAAACTCCAGACAAGTCCTTCCCAATATTATTTTTCATAATCGACCACAAGCCAATATGCTTCTCTTTCTCCTTGGGTTCTGGCAAATCATCCCTCTTTTTCACATATGGTTATTTAATTGTCTTGATCTCCTCAACTCCATGCAATCGATCAGAAAAGAAAGAATCTCTTTCAAATATACAATAGGAAGCACTGCTTAGAGCATCTGAAGACAAAATAATTCATATCAAATTATGTATCTTTACTTAAACCAAAAGAAAGATTCTCTATCGTATACCATTTCCCAAGTCTTCTCATATGTGAAAACAATGAGTTCAACAAAATACTAAGATAATGGAAAGATAACTGACCACTAAATCTCCCATTCCCCTGTCTGTATGACTCACGCTCCTTTGTTTCATCCACTACTGTAGTTTCCAGCTCTATTTTTTCTGTCTGCAAAAGGAAATTTAGATAGGGATTTACTTTCTGACTAGCAAGATTTCCACCACCCCTTAGTGATTAAATGCACATGTATAAAGAAGAAACTTAGTGATTAAATGCATGGAAATACCTCTAATTGCCTCAATGACTCCAACAACATCACATGTTTACGCTGAAGACCCTTCATTTGATTTTGAAGCTCTGACACTTCTAAGAGCATAATTGACTCGCAGTCTTTGATCACCGGCTCACCAATTCCCTCATGTGCTAATCTTAGTCTTAGCTTCTCTGTCGAAACAACTATATCTTCCGAAGGTACCAAATCATTGCTCGTAAACACTCTAGGGAAAAGATCTTTAGCACCGAGTAGTGCCTCAATCCATGTAGCTCGGTCCTCTCTGGTCACACACCACAAGTGAAGAGTTTTAGTTCCTGTGAATATGGAAAGCCGTTTATCATTTGATTTGTTGGCATGAATTAAAGAGACCTGTAAACCAGATTTTGAATCGCTAAACTTCTTCATATATACTATTGATGAGGTGCTAATAAACAGATTTTGAATCGCTCCCAAAGAAAGGCTAGAGAAAGATGCCTAAATGCAATCAACAAGACTTCAAGGGATCAATCATGGCAATGAGACAACAACAAGAAAGCATCAAAATTTACGCGATTAAAAACCATTGGACCAAAAGTTAAAAAAAAATAAAAAAGGGAAAATTTGAAACAAAAGTAACACCACCAATATATAAATAATCAAATTAGTGCAGAAAAGTTAAACCAAACAGATCGTAATCGAAGACGAACAGAAAGGCCAGGAATACCTACGTTTTCAATGCTTAAGGTTGACTAGTAGAGACAATCTTGTTTGAGAAAACAGGTGAACTAGGCAGCCTAAAACACGATAGATCAAAGTAACTAATGTTTTATGCAAGTTGTGTCACTTTTTTTGCTGTTCTTGTACATGTAATTGAGTTCTAGAATCCAGCTTTACATATAATCAACTAAAACCCAAAGCAAAAAAGAAGAGGCCATAATCCCTTTTGATCATTGAGCTGAAATCGCTGGACGATTAATCAGCTTGAGAATCCAAAAACACAACAACCCAAGAGGAAAAACCATTCAAAGAAGGAAACCCCACAAACAAAACGAGGAACAGATAGAGGGAAGTTGAGTGCATACCAGCAAGATGTGAGAGGTGGGTCTTAGTGGGTTTTCTTTTCTCTGTGAGCTTTGGAAGCAAAGCGTCAATGGAGAAACAGAAATGTTTTATGTGAAAAGGAGCCAATATTATCCTTCATAATCGACCACAAGCCAATATCTTCAAGATTAGTCCCACATTTGAGCTGCTTAAAATAGAAATGTTATATTGCCAGAATTTTAGGAAGTGTAAGTGTGGGAGTCTAAATACTGTGAAGCTATTATATTTACCTTTTCAATGGCCACTTCAATACGTTTCAGCAGGTCCCTTGCACTGGTTTTCTGTGAACCCTGCAAAATGCAGATACCAAAATTTAAAATCTTCTCAACATCATCCCGAGAATCAAGAGATTCGCAAGCAAAGCCTTGTGACATATGAAACCAAATCTGTTTTTTCATCACAGCCCCGACAATAGTATTCAGAATCCAAGCCAATGCTTCCTCTTACAGTGCCAGCCATGTAACATTGCAAGGCACAATCAATATGGGCAGCATGCCCACATATGCTACCATCATGCTTCAATGCTTCGCATCGAATGTAATCATAACCTGCACAGGACGAGTTTACAGACTTGCAACAAAGAATGCAACAGCAATCACGGCAGAACTTAATCTATGTGGACATCTACACCTGATCCAAATGAAGTGAATCCAAAATGAACATGTCAATTCATAATAAAAGCAAATGATTACATGCTAAAACAAAATGCAGCTTCAAAACCGAATGAGCATAAATACTAGCACATCTGCATAAATATGACCTAATCCAAATGAAGTGAACAAACATAAGTAAACACATAGAACTCTGAATAATTTAGTCTATGTGCACATCTACACCTGATCCAAATGAAGTGAATCCAAAATGAACAAGTCAATTCATAATAAAAGCAAATGATTACATGCTAAAACAAAATGCAGCTTCAAAATCGAATGAGCATAAATACTATCATATCTGCATAAATATAACCTATAACGAGTATAAATAACTTGTACTTCGTTGTTCAGATTGGTAAAAAATGGAAAATACCTTCAAACGATCACGATCAGATTCTTCCCGTGCCTTTTTTAGTTTGACTTTGCCTCTCCTCAGCCCCCTGGTTGTTTCCTTTACAAGTTTATATTAATCCTCATCCGAACTACAGTAATAACTCTCGCTATCCTCACTACTATCATTTTCGGATTTCCATTCGTCCTTATCTTCGTTTGCCTCTTTCGGTGCATTGTATCGCAGCAGATCACCAAGGTCAATTGATATTTCGAATTCGGGAACTCCAACTACTTCAAATGGTTCTTGGACAACATTAGTATCCCGTAGTATTTCTTCACCAATTTCTATCAAAGATGAAAACTGTTGGTCAGCGACGTTGTTGTCGTTGTCATCATGATCTAGTTCCGGAATATCATATAGCCCTCTTCGATCAATCTTCTGAACAACTTTCCAACCATTGCCGGCTTTAGGGTCGTCTAGATAGAATATTTGTTTCGCCATAGTTTCCAAAATGTATGGGTCTTCATCGTACCAACATTTGGTAGTGTTTACTGATAGTAAACCATGGTCTCGCTTAACACTCGTTCAGTTATGTGGGTTTGTATCAAACCAAAGACACTTAAACAGTATCACTTGACATCTGTCTTTGTAAAGCAATTGTATTACACTAGTTAGTTTGCCATAAAAATCAATGTCTTCACTATCGCCAGCACTCGGGACATGGACACCACTATTTTGAGTACACAACTTGTCATCACGTGTTGCCCCCAAGAACTTGATCCCGTTGACATGACAACCTGAGAACCATTCAACGTGAAGCGGTCCTCTCGCCAAGTTATATAATTCTTCATCGTAAGATGGTGAATTCAATTCCTTCAATTTGTTCATCTAATATAACATATACAAAAAGTTAACATGTTAGTGCAACCAAATTTAAAGACGGCCATGAACAATTTGGAAAAAATGCTCAATTCAAAACACATACAACTTACATGTTTGTGAAACCACGAAGGAAACAATTCACAGTGCTTCTTGGCATATAAATGTGAAGGATGTTCCCGCTTCATCAACTGTTCATGTTGTTCAAGGTATGGCAAAGCCTCATCACAATTGTTGAGTATGAACCAATGCGCTACCTCCATGTCCTTTTTAGTAAAGGATTCGCCTTTTACAGGATCGCCGAATGGTCGCGCAATTTGGGCAAAAACATACAGTTTTTCTTTTCTGACACCACTGTCATTATTGCGTTGAGGGCGATTGAAAGCTGTCTCAACATCTTGAAGATACATTACACAAAAAGTAAGTGACTCATATGCGACCCATGCTTCCACAAGTGATCCTTCGGGCTTTGCCTTATTTCGGACAGACTTTTTCAACTCACCAAGATATCTGGACAAATAAAAGGTATGATACAAATTATTCAAAGCGTTCGTTGATCATGCATCTGTTATATATATATATATATAATAGATTCATATATATATATATATATATATATATATATATATGCTTAATTAAGTACCTTTCTATTGGATACATCCATCGACAATTGATTGGTCCGGCAAGCAATGCCTCATCTGACAAGTGAATCATCACGTGAATCATACTTGTAAAGAAAGCTGGAGGAAATATCTGTTCGAACTTGCATAAGACGTTCACAATGTCGTCCTACAATTGTTTAACATCCGACTTCCGCAAACACCTTGCAGTTAACTGTGAAAAAAATCTCGACAACAACACTATTGGTTTCACCACATCAAAAGGCAATAAGTGTCGAATACCAACTGATAGAAGGCGTTGGAGTATCACATGACAGTCATGACTTTTCATGTTTGAAAATTTACACCCACTTACGTTCACGCAATGCGAGATATTAGAAGCATACCCATCTGGAAACTTTACAGAAGAAATAAAGTTGAAAAACTCTTTCTTCCCATTCGGCTTAACTGTAAAAAAAGGATGGCCTTTCTTCAATGTACCACCAACTTTCTTCATCCACAAGGATGATCTAATGCCCATTTGTTCCAAATCGAGGCGAGCTTCGATCGTGTCCTTCATTTTTCCTTCAATGTCTAGAATTGTCCCGACCAAAGTATCAAACACATTTTTCTTAATATGCATAACATCGAGATTGTGTCTCAATTTTAACTTTGACCAGTACGGGAGCTCAAATAACATACTCTTGTGCATCCAATTCAGATGTGTAGTTGGTCTGGGCTTACTGACCCCTTTGCCAAAATGACCAAATTCCAAACGGTTTAACTGATCCAAAATCTCATCTCTGGACCATTCTCTTGGTCTTGGTTGAGTCTCTTTTGTGCCGTGGAAACCTTTATCGTTGTGACGCCACTCGTTGTCCCAAGGGAGCCATCTACGATGACCAAGATAACAAACTTTTCTCGCATGCCAAGACGATGTTACGTTCTCCTTGCATATTGGACATGCTAAATAACCTTTAGTCATCCACCCAGAAACCATTGCATACGCAAGAAAATCGTTTACTGTCCACATCACTGCTACTCGCATGGTGAACATATGCCCAGTAGACTTATCGTATGTACGAACACCGTTTTCCCATAAATCTTTTAGCTCATCAACCAATGGTCGCAAATAAACATCAATGGACTTTCTTGGATCTTCGGTAATTAATACAGTCAACATCATGTATTCTTTTTTCATGCACTTCCAAGGTGGCAGATTATAAGGAAACACAACGACCGGCCAAATGCTGTGGGTTTGGTTTAGAACCCCGAACGGATTAAATCCGTCGGTGGCAAGTCCCAATCTTATGTTTCGCGGGTCAGCTGCAAAATCAGGGTACATCCGATCGAATTCTTTCCATGCCTCTCCGTCTGCAGGATGCCTCATCACATCGTCATTTACCCGTCTTTCTTTATGCCATCTCATATCGGTTGTCGTATGCATCGACATGTACAATCGCTGCAACCTAGGCTTTAATGGAAGATAACGCATTATTTTTTGTGGAATCTTGGTCTTTCTATTCTGCGATGTCATTTTAAACCTCAACTCAATGCATACAGGGCATTTATCCAACTGTATGTTCTCCTTATAGAACAATATACAATTATTTACACATGCGTGAATTTTTTCATACCCCAATTCGAGACCCTTCAACACTTTTTGGGCACTTTTATGATCTTTAGGTAAATAATTGTCCTTTGGAAGCATCCTCTTGATAACTCCCAAAAAGTAATCAAAACACTTGTTTGACAAATGAAACTTGATCTTGCCATGCATCAACTCCACAATTGCCGTGAGCACTGAAAAGTTCTCGCAACCCGGATATAATTCTTGCTTGGCATTTTTCAATAGTTTTTCATAGTTTTTGAATGCCTCACTGTCCATGGTTGGACGACTGTCATCTCCCCCTTCCTCATTGGTGTTGGTTGAGACGTATGGATAAACGTCATTTAGAATATCCATAACTTGTTCATTAGGATCCACATTAGATTCAACAGTCTCCATTCGTGTCATATATGAAGACGAAAGTTGGTCTAATCGTTCTCCATGATGATACCAAGTAGTACAGGTCTCCATCATCCCATTTCTTACTAAATGAAATCGAACATTTTCGAATGTCTCCCTCATTGAGTTGTTACACCTCCTACACGGACATCGGATATGAGTTGAACCTAGGTTGTGTCTAGTTGCGAATTCAATGAACTCATCTATTCCATCAAGTACTCAACATCACATCTATTATGATTCTGTATCCACTGTCTGTCCATTTTGTCTCCAATCCCAATAAAAGAACAAGAATTACAACAACTTCAACTATTGTCTTGTCACCTTATTCCTCCGGTAAGGGCCTTATCCCATTCAGGAATGCACAGTTATGTGCCGTAATTTACGATTCCAATGGATGAAATTTCGACGCGGGCAAATTTCGACAGCATCTCCTTATAGTTCTTCAAGTGCACGCCGTAGATACATAATATCCACCGTGTACTCGAAGAACATCAGGAAATGTTACCAAAATTTCCACTATAGAAACCTAATCCGTGAACCGCAAACTACAACACATAACTATGAATTCCCAAACTGTCCAAAAAATGGGACAATTCAAGAATTAATTGGACCGCAGTCATGCTTTTGCATCCATGCACGAAATCCAACTAATTCTCAAACGGGAAACTAAGCTTTTCTTGAAAAAAGTGTACGAAGTTAAGTAGTATTAACTTCGTACAACACAAAACAATGTTGTACGTGATGTACAAAAATATGTGCATACAAATAAATTAAATCACAATAACTAGTGAAACTAAATAAAATAGATACAAAATATTAATACTTCTAAACTATAATGTTGATGGCCTTAGTTTTTATTTGTTTATACTAATTATCATAGAATATACATATTCTAGTTAGTTACACTCGAGTAATTTTGTTGGTGAGATAAAAGTATTGTTAGAATATGAACACAAGTGTACACGTATTTTGGCTAGATATTGGTTTTAAAAAATCTTATTGAAAGATGATTTGGTTGTCTTCAAGTTTACAAAGGATTGAGACTAAAAATGAATCCTGAATTACTTACTTGTATTAAAATTGGAAGACGATATTAACTTTCTACAAGGATTTAATAGGAGAATTGTAGCCATTGTTTATCTAAATAAGTATGGCATATGCTCACAAAAATCAAGCCCCTCATTATTGAACTAAAACATGTTGTCTTAGCATTGAGAACTTAATAGTGATGATAAGATTAGCTTTGAAGTTCATGGCTTTTGTAGGTTTTCTATATAATTCTTAATTACCTGCAGTGCATTGGATTTACCCTCAATTCAACCGTATAGCACAAATTAAGGAAATTTGAAGGGGAAACCAACATTTCTTACAATTTCTTCTATGTAAATATATAAGTTAACCCATATGCAAAATTAATAAAGATTACTAAAGGGCATAGCAAGCAGGCAAAGGTACCTAATAGGTAAAATTAATAAAGATTACTTCAAAATTGAATCTCACAAAACTCAAACCATTACCAAAAAAGGGCATAGCAAGTAGGCAAAGGTACATATACAAAAATCCCATATGCAACATGAAGAAAATACCTTCAAATTCGTTCTTCAATGATAATTGTATACAAAAATCCTGTACAAAACAAATTTAGTAGTTTTAGTTTGAATTCTCAATTCAAAGTTACATATACAAAATCAAATCACTTACCGGATAGAAAAAGATTGAGGAAGGGAGAGAATTGGAGAATGTTTTGAAGAGAGATGGGGGAGGGAGGTAGCTGCTGCAACTAGTTTGCAGTTTCTACCTCCCAAACTGATTAAGTGAAGTAAGAAAAGGTCGTTGACTTTGCGTGACGCCACATACGTCACACAAAACAGCTTTGCGTGATGCATGTTCACCTACGTCATGCAATGCTGTTTTGCGTGACGTATGTTGCGTCGCGCAAAACCGTTTTGCGTGACGTAAGTGAACATGCGTCATGCAAAGCTGTTTTGCGTGACGTATGTGACCTTGCGTTGCACAAAGTCAACGAAAAAAGTGGTAAAGCTATCTATATTTGGCGCCAAAATCTTGCGGGACACACAAAACGTCGCGCAAACGGCCTTTGCGCGACGACAAGTTGCGCGACGTCGGTCTCCGTTGCGCAAAACAATTTTGCGTGACGTAAGTGAACTTACGTCTCGCAAAACACTTTTGTGTGACGTCGGTCTCCGTTGCGCAAAGACCGTTTGCGCGACGTTTTGTGTTTAACGTCGCGCAAACATACTTTGCGCGATGAATTTGGCTGCGTCGCGCAAGTTTTTGTTGCGCAAAGTGTTTTTTCTACTAGTGATACTTCCAATAAACTATTCATTTCATATTTCAAGTTTAGAAGTTGTAAAACATTCATGAATACTGATTTTGGGTTTTAATGTTTTCAATAGGTGTAAAGATAAATTTACGTATTGAATTGAGTTTATAAGGGTAGTTTAGAGAGTGAATTTGGGTTTAAAGAGATATTGATAGCTTAATAAAAAACAATATGGATGTTGAGAGTAAGTTAGGTGTAGAAAGAGGTTATATGGGATCAAATAAAATTTCCTATTGGAAATGCCCATCGTTCTAGAATCATTGAACCTGCGATCTGGAAGCAAATATGGGGCATGAACACTCTCCTTAATATCAAGTTTTTCTTCTGGCGAATTGTTAATAATTGTCTTCCAACTATGGAGGCCCCATTCCATTTCTCTCTCCGTGCCAATCCCCTCTACCCCATGTGCATGCAATTCCCAGAATTAGCTGGACGCATCCTTTTTTATGTCCCTGGACCTATGCGGTCTGCTTTGCTCCAGATTAAACTATCGCATTGATCGTCAAGCTGTTGCTTGCTGTTTCTAAGGTCATCGACGGAAACGGTGCTGCTTTGAATAGGGTATTAACTTTGGCTCTCTTTATCTACTGAGAAATTTGGAAAATCGGTCATTGTAGTTTTTACAACTTGGTACCTTCCCCCTATAGAACTTTGAGGCTGGCATCCGTGGCCTCTGACTAGTTCATCGGTGCCTCTACTGCCCACTTTCCGCCTCCCTCCCCCCCCCGGGATCTCGTCCTCCTGCCATGTGGTCTCCCCCTCCATCCAATTTTGTCAAAGTTAACTGTGATGGCTCCTGGACTAAATCATATCGGCACATGGGGCTCGGGGTGGTTATTAGGGATACATCTAGCTGGCTCCTGGTGGATCAGGGTGGAAGGGGAACTGCTATTACTCCCTTGAAGCTGAGGTGCGTACTGCTCTCCTTGCTATGGAAACTACCATCGAAAATAACCTTTCACAACTAATTCAAAATATCAACGAAGGAACAAAACAGGCTACTTTGACTATTTTTCCCATTATAATCCAAATTTGTAATATCCGCCATCGTTTCCAGTTTCTTAATTGGAGTTCGATCACCGGCCAAGCGAACTCTATAGCTAACTGGGTTGCATTGCATTGTAAAAGAGGGGATGTGTCCGAACGTCTGGGTTCCCAGACCCCCATCCGTTCTCGTTCATATTTTGTCCATCGATGGTCTTCACTGTCCTCACTAGGAAGCTGCTCGGGCTTTGGGTTTTCATTTGAGTACGGCGACCAAAGCTACGCTTGAAGTCTCGATCACTTGTGCTCTTTAAGCCTAAAGCCTGTTTTCCTTTGTTTTCCCTGAAGTTTCCTCCGTCTCTAATGAAATCTTATTTCGACCCAAAAGAAGAAAAAAAAGAAAAAAGAATGAAGATGCTCTAATAGTTTTCCCATTCAAGTAAAGTTAGTTGAAGTTAGCCATATTGAGTGAGAAAGTGGCCAACCTCTCTCTCTCTCTTTCTCTCTCTTCATCATCATGGCCATCAGACGCACAATGACACACAGACACACAAAAAAAAAGGAAAGAAAAGGCTTATACATCCCGCAAAAGGCAAAAGATGGGAAAGAAGAAAAGTAAAATTCATTCATTCATACCAGCAAGAACCAGATTCAAAGTTGTACAGAGAAAGAGAATAATAATTCCATAAACAACCACCAAAACATTCATTTTAGTACTATTATATGTAAAAATAAATAAAAACAGAGAAAAGCCTTTTGATGTGGAAAAGAAACAAAGGAGAGGGAGGCTGAGAGACTTCTCTCTTCTTGCTGCTTCCTCTCTCTCTCTCTCTCCCTCTGTCTGTCCTTTTAGTTGTAGCAGCAGCAGCTGCTTTTTAAAGGGATTCGGCCGAGTGCTGTCTTTGGAAGCTTGGTTAGTCATCTTGGAGGAGGAGGAGATGAGGATATATAACGTACAGATTCCTTACTCGAATCATCATCTTACTCTATCTGTCGCTCCATCTAATTATCTTTATTTTAATAACTTTTGGGTTTATTTAATATGTTTTATGTCTTGGAGGAGGAGATGCATATAAATGGTTCTGAGTTTTAATTAATTTAATTTAATTATAAGAAAATGAAATTAAAAAAGAAAAGAGTATTACTGGCCGAGAATTGTTCTGAGTTCTGACTTGTTATGTGATTCTTCTGTGAATTCTTTCTTCTTGGGATCCCTCCCTCCCTCCCTCCCTCCCTCTTGATTTCATGGTTGTAGGAGTGAGAAGATTGTTTGTTGTTTGGTTTGTCTGTTTTTTCTTAATTTATTATTAAGGAAATTAAAGAAGGAACGATGATGATGTCCTTAATTTCTCTTTCAAGGGTGTTTGTACTTGTGTTCAACTATACAATTAATTCACAATTCTACTTAATTACATAGTAGATTATGTACTCAAATATATAGTAGAGCAGCGTAGAAGCACCGAGTTGGAGTTTTGAATGAATCCATAAACTATTGCAAAATATAACTTTCTCAAAGGCTCTTTCATATTCCTTTCAGGCAGGAACGCTAATGCTAGGAGCATGGGAAATAAAAGGAGTTGGTTTTCCGCCATAAGGAGGGTTTTCGCGCTGCATTCCAAGGACAAGGCAGCCAATGTAAGAGAATATGGCCTATTTCCTTTCCCAGTGGATTTTTCTGGATTTATATCACAACTTGTTTGAATGTCTCAAATAAGTAGACAATCCAAAGGTTGACCTTTTGGTAATTGTGGATCTATACGGGCTACATTTTACAAATTTTCTAACTTGTATATAAGTCAATTCTCCAGATGTCTCAGACACGAGTCAGCTGCTGGCTGTAATGAATGTTCTTGTAGTATTTGTACTAGCGACAACTGTATAGCTGGTTTCTTAGTATGTACAATATGATTGTTTCGCTTGGTTAGTGATGCGTGAATTACTTGACACACAAATTAAACCCTCTTTTTGACAATTGTAGTATAGATGTAAGTAGGGTATCGTTCTAGGCCGGGGATTAGGAGGGATTGCTAATCTACTCTAAATTAATTTAAAAATATTAAACAAGACTCAAGGACACAAAACTAGGCTAAAAACTCTAATAACTCGAAACACACTTAAAATGACTCAAAATAATGAAAACAATTAAATTAAACACTAGGAACTGAAATGGACGGAAATTAAATTAAAAGACTAACAATAAAGAAAACTAACTAAATAATATAATTTAATAATGGATGGGTGTTTGGTTTTGATGAAAAGTAAATTAAACTTAATTAAATTACAGAATTGACAAAAACATAAAATTAAGGTAAAATGATAGATGACGGACTAGCTAGAGGGTTCTTCTCCACACATGACATATATGCAACCTAAATTGATTTTCAGTTGTTCTTTCAATAAGTTATGAATTTTCAATGCCCCAAATTAACCATGAATTGCATAGATTAATTCTCAGATTTTCCTTAAGTTAATGGATTGGATGATTGCATACGACAACCCAAAACATTTCCCACAAGTTCCCTACATGAATTGCATAATAGAGATACAAGCAAGAATCATTAAGTTCTATGAAAATCATAAGCATTGACGAGGCACTTGTTACTATGAATTGCATGAAACTTATGCCAAGAATTTACTTAACGTGATTGTGACTAGCAACCTTCACTACTTGTGAATATAAGTTCATAACGATTAGGTGAAATTCACTTATATTCTAGCATCAAATTCATGCATGTAAATTAAGTATGCATCCTTAATCGACATACAAAAATAAGTTATAAATCAAGCAGTTAAGCAAATTAAATCACAACTCAGAAATCACAACTGAAGGTAATCAATTCATATTATAAATATATTCATAGCTTTGAATTAACCTCTAGCCAAAATAAAATTAGTTACACATTATTAAAACACAAATAAACCAAAAGTAAAATATAAGTGGGAAAGATTTAACCGAGAGAGAGGAGAGTGCTTGCTGCTTCTGTCTGTCTGACTTCTCTGTTTTCTGACTTGCCTCCATGCTCAAGCTGCCAAATGGCAGCTCTTCTCCTCTGCCCCACGTCACCTCTCGCTGCTCACCTCTCGGTGCTCCCTCTTATTTTCTGCGCCACTCTACTTTTCTGTCCTCTTCGGTTTTTGTTTTCAAGGCTGCCAAAGGCAGCGTTATTTTACCGCACAGTCTCGCTGTGCTTTCCTGCGCTGCTCAGCTGCAAAGGCAGCTTTTCTTTTCTTTTCTGTTCTGTCCGCGCCTCCTTCCTGCGTCTGTGCGAGCTGCCCCAAAGGGCAGCTCCCTTCTCCCCCCTTTCCCAGAAGCTTTTATGCTTCTTATTCTTTTCACTTCCGAGGCTAATGCCTCACCCTTTCTTTTTTTTATTTCTTCTTTTCCCCTCACCTACCAGCTGCACTTATTCTTCTAGATGGTATCCACTCATCCAGCTCCACCTACCACACTGCCACGTTTTTGATAAATAAAAATCATTTAGCCATTTTTATTTTCTTTGCATAACAAATCCTATAAACACAAAAATAACGTAAATAGCTCAAAAATATAAGGAACTAACTAAGAAAAGACGAGTGAATTTGAAGTAAAAATATATATAAATATGATCCGATCAGTTAGCGATAATACAATCATAAATTCATACTACAGTTAGTATGTTCAGTTCAGTTTATTCTATGTCTGCAACAAAAGAACGTTCAACTCAATTAGAGTGGTATACATTTTATTTCTACTTCTCAAGTGCATGCAGTTTTTTTCTGGTTTTTGAGCGCAGAGGTAAAAAAACATGCAAAATATTCGCTAACTCAAACTAAATCTCATTGTTAATCATATTTCAGTGTTCAGAGAAGAAAAACACAAATGAAAAGTATAAGGGGCTTGGGAAACTAAAGCATGGAGAGACCAATTCGTTCATTCCGCTGTTCAGAGAACCAAGCAGCATTGAGAAAATTTTTGGGGATTTTGAAAGGGAGCAACAAAGAGAAACTTTTAGGCCTCCTACACCTGATGAGCAACCAAGGACCCCGCCTTTTGTGCCTCCTAGAGTTTCTTCTCCGAGGCTTGCCTCACCAAGGGCTCCTTCTCCACGGGCTCCTTCCCCAAGAGCTCCTTCCCCAAGAGTGCCTCCTCCAAGAGCTCCTCCTCCAAGAGATCCATCTCCTAGCATCATTCATCAACATAAGGAGATTAGCTACAGACATGAACCAACTATAAGGAACCACCATGCCTCAGCTACTAAAATTCAGGCAGCCTATAGAGGTTATACGGTAAGCTTATACTTTTCACCCGTTAGTACTCAAGGGTGGGGGGTTGTAACGTGTAATGTGAGAACTGGACTATAACAGGGTAGAGTTCAATATAGGAAAACCTAATTCCTGTATTCAGTTCATCTAATTGAACGCTTTCTAGTGGTTCTGTTCTTCCTGTGGTCGCATAAGACAATGCATAGGTCCGCCCTGTCAAAATAAATAACTCATAATCGGACATCAAGTTTGGAGAACGTTTTAGGTAAAAGGTACTAGATTAACCAATTTTCCCAAAATGTAGCCGTCAGAATAATATAACGTGATATCTAGATCTTGTGTTTTGTGTCCTGGCTGTATATCATAAAGTCGCAAATTTTATGTGCATAATTAGTTTTTAGAAGCACAGCAGCAGTTCAAAAGTAAATGGTGTGCAAAGGCTCTGACTAGCAACCAGAGAAGAATTTGTTTTTTTCTACTTTACACGTTGAAGATTTATTTATAAGGTACATTCTGTCCCAGATCATGCTGCATCCTTCTCGGGAAGGTTTTGGTACCATGCGGAGTTTTCTCGGGCAATCACTTGATATGATTACATCTGGATCTGGATCAAGTCTAGGTTTTGATAACTACAGGTTATGAACTTCCTCTGACCCTGTAATGAACTTTGTCTACTTTTTATACAGGCAAGAAGAAGCTTTAGAGCTCTAAAAGGTCTAGTGAGGCTTCAAGGAGTAGTAAGAGGCCAGAACGTGAAGCGTCAGACGATGAATGCCATGAAATACATGCAACTCTTGGTACGGGTTCAGTCTCAAACTCAGTCACGTAGGATTCAGATGTTAGAAAACCAAGCAAGACATCAAGTTCAATACAAGAATGACAGAGAAATGGAAAGCACCTTCACTAAATGGAACTTGAGCCAGCAAGTAAGTCTCCATTCATCGGCTTTTTATTCTATTCCTATCTGTTTCAGTTGGTTCCAAACGTTTAAGCTGATAGATACGCTAGGGGCCCCTAAAACTTATATAAGGTTAATCACTAACGTTACACTCGCACATCCACACACTAACACTTCTTCATTTGTAGGTTAATATGGTAAAAAACTTGGGGCAAACGTGGACCTTGCGCATGTAGACCCACACAATTACGACAAACTAACGTGAAAAAGAAGATTACTTTTTCTGCTAAAAAAATGATAAGTAAACTGTAAACATATAAAAACTCCGCTACAATGTCTGTAATTTGGTTAAGCATAATATATGTATAAAACAAAGTAGTGCTAACAATTTCAATGATTGTGCTCTAGTCTGAGACGGCCAATAACGAGGAATGGGATGATAGCTTGCTAACTAAGGAGGAAGTAGAGGCAAGGTTGCAGAAAAAGGTTGAGGCAGTCATGAAAAGAGAAGGAGCAATGGCTTACGCATACTCCAACCAGGTATTCTTTCTGCACTAGTAACCCAACTGAGCTTCAGTTGGCTTTCGAGCCTTATTCCACCTGCATTCACTTTTCTGTTCAGATAGCAAAAAAGAACAATCTTCTCTTTTATGTTATAGTTTCATACCCTATAAAACTCCTACGACGCACTATTAACAATGGCATAGATAGTAATTCAGTAATGCTGTGACAATATTGGAAAACATTGTTTGAACTTTAACATTTGTATATGCAAATTTTAAGAGTATTTGATTATTTTGTTGAATTGTTTGTACATGAATTGCCAATAGAGAGTATTGTTTATTGGACAATATATCTTCTTCAATGATGAGTGACCATTTCACCGTACAAACGTCCTAATCATAACCATTTGTTCTTTTTATCAGTAACTAAAGATTATCTCTAGAAAAATCATTCATGCGTGCCGAACAGTTTGATGGCTATGGTAACAAGTAATATCATCATGATGGACTACTAATTTGTTGAATTCATAAGGATGACCGAACATCTTCTAATTAAATGAATTTTTAAGGGATGAACGGCTCTAATTATATGACATTTGTAGAGTAAAATGATATTGCATCGTTATTGAAGGAGGAATGGCTCCTTACATAATTGTATTACTAGTTTTCTTTTCAATGCATGGGTTACATAACAGTGGTAAGGTGCACCCACCATTAACTATATCATCATCACTTCCCTAGTGGCCAAGGTTTAACCCACTAATAATATCTTAAGCTTGAAGGTGTTTTATGGGTCAGGTCAGTTGCACAAAGTAGTGTGCCTGCCTCCATTGACCTGGAATTCGATTCCCTTTCCCATATATTAGAGCAGCTTAGCATATCGTTTTGTAAAAGAACAACGAAAAAACAAAATAACATAGTGGCTTAAGGGGTTAATTGTTTTCCTTGATGCAGTCTTTAATGCAATCAATACTTATTTTATTTCTTGACGATGCTTCTTGCCACCATTGACCTCGAATTCGATTCCCTTTCCTGTAGATTAGAGTAGCTTAGAATATCGTTTTGTAAAAGAACAAAAAAACGAAAGAACAAAAGAACATAGTGGCTTAAGGGGTTAATTGTTTTCCTTGATGCAGTACTCAATGCAATTGATAGTTATCATATTTCTTGACGATGTTTTGTATTTTTGTGTACCAAAAACAGCTGTGGAAAGCTACTCCAAAATCAGGTCAAACACCTATAGCTGATATCCTGTCTGGACAATTTCGGTGGTGGTGGAACTGGTTGGAACGTCAGCTCCCTCCGGTAGACCCTCCTGCAGGAACCAACGCGTTGAAAACTTTTCAGTTTACTCCTTCAAGACTAGATTCAGAGCGAAAGCCAAGCCCCGTGCCCCAGTCAAGCAATCAAAAGCCACATCCTTTTCCATTTGATAACAATCTTGACACACCAAAATCGTCAAGGTCAACCATTAATCTCACAACAATAAAACCAGCACGAACCCCGCCTTTGATTAATACGAGTAGGACTCCACAAGCAAACAGGTTTGGGATATCGAAGTACGCAAGAACACCTGGTGGTGGAGCTGAATCCCCTTTTGGTTTTCCACTGAAGGATGATGACAGCCTCACAAGCTGCCCCCCATTTTCAGTTCCAAACTACATGGCTCCAACGGCGTCAGCCAAAGCGAAGGCACGAGCTAGTAGCAATCCTAGGGAGAGATCTGTGGGGACACCAAGTAGTGAGTCCAAGAGAAGGCTTTCCTTCCCTTTGGCACAAGGCATTGGGTCTTTCAAGTGGAACGAAGCATCTTTTTTCTCTAATAACAAGGATTCCAGCTCTGAAAGGAATTTAGACAAGAACCAGTCTTTGCAATCTCTAGGAAATTCGAGCATAGATTCCACGGTTTCGATGCCTGCAGGAGTTGGAAGGAAGCCATTTAACGGATTTGTGTGATTCATTTCCGTTTATTTTTTCCAACTTTTCTTGTACTTGCCATTCATTGTGGTGTTGATTTTGTTATGAGTGGACTTGAGAGTTGCAAAACACTGATGTAAAATGATAAAAAGAAAGGAAATAATATGTGTGTCATGTGCGTGTATTATATATCTGTATAATCATGGTTTGGATTATTGGATGTAGCATGATTTGAATTTTGAAAAGTTTCATAGACAGTTTTATTCTACTTTGCATATCTTCGAAAATTCTTATGACTCTTTTTCGATGTACATAACAGGTGCACAACGTCGCTCGCTCGCCAAGTATACAGTTCTCAGTTGGTTTTGCAAATAAGCAAATATGAAGAATTAACCTTTGCATTTCAGCTCGCGAAGTCAACAATTTAACTTTGTCAAATTCACCTTCATCGGCTTGTCCGGGGGAGGAGGAAATGTGGGCGAATGTCGGGGTGGCACTTCGTACCAATTTGAAATAACTCGCAAACACAAATCGTTTCAACTTAAGTCTAAGAGCTTTTCTATTTAAACTCCATATTCTGTCAGATTTCACTCCACAAAGGCACTTTAAAGTCCAATTTTATCCTTAGTAATACCAACACACCCCACAAGAACTTGAGTGGAATTAATCAGTGGTTGAATGATAGTTAGGTTGAGTTCTGGATAGATAAGGTAAGATTTCGAGGATTGGGATGATTTTTTACAAGGTTCGGAAAATTTGAAGGATCGAAACTTGTGGCTGATTGGATAAGAAATGGATTGAAAGGATAAAGGAATTTAGATTCAGAGTCCTAGTACATGTGAGACACCGCCAAGATAGGGGTTCGATCGATAAATGATTGGTGAGGATAATTCTAAAATTATCATATGGGACTGAGGAATTGTAATTCTATTGGGATTCTACTTCAGCAGGCTTAGGCATCAGTAAATTAATTCGTATAAGTACAAGAGGATTGGCAATGTGGATAGGACCTTCAACTCAACGCACAAGTCAATGCTCTATGCGAATCTTCTCAACCTTCCTAAGAAAATACTAACTTCACATCACAAATTCAGTTTGGTTAGACATGTTTAAAGTTGGCAGCCTACGGATGATTACAGTTTGATTAAACAAAATTTTCCGTAGACAACAGCTAAAGGTGACAATTTAGTTGGACAACACTGGAGTCGTAGAATTAGCTTAGTCTAAGAGTTTTGACAATTTGGTTAAATAGTAAGTTCTCATCTTTTGACTGGTTATCTATCCCAAGTCTTTGCCAGTGAGAAGTCTTTGATTCTTTCGTCGAACAAGGTCACTTCATTAGCTTTCTTGGTGAAGTGTAGTGTTCTATGGTTGGATATCAAGTGACATTACGAGTATGGCACATCGACGACCGTTAGTATTCGCCCAACCAAGCTCAATTGAGAATTGGCACTCCCACATCATCAATCAACCACTGAAGGATGTAGTTAGCTCCTAGTTAATCACATGCTCGCCATGTAAGTTTTGTAACTTTTAGAGTCAATAGTAAGGTGTTTAAAAAAATTGGGGTTAAATCAGGCGTGGAGTTCAAAACCTTTTGGGAATATATAACTTGATTTGGAACAAAGTTCAACGAGAACAAAATAATCAATGCAATAGTTGGAACAATAGGAAACATCGAGAGGCTATTCACTCACCCATTTTTCCCTCCCGTACCAAATGATTCCAGATCCATCCCACAACATAAAATACATTTTGTCACACATAAAGAGTAATTCTGGTTAACTTGAAGTCTTTACACCCAAAATTAGTTCCTAAACTAGCCTCACTTGTAAAAATCCCATCCCAACTCTATGATCCTCTCTCTACACCCACTAATGTGATAACTTTAGGCAAACTCCAGCACTTCATGTACCCGAGCCCGTCCGGGATGAGCTCATACATATATGATGATAGATTCCACCTAAAGACATTCACAGAAGCGGAAGAGTATTATTCACATTTTTTATACATATATACAGAAACAAGGAGACAATATCAAATTCTATTGGATCATCAGCTGTACAGTATGAAAGCAAATCAAAGTCCCAATCTCCCGCTAAAAGGATTATAAATTTTTAATGTAATATTCATATGTACACTTGGGATTCTTCCATCACGTCAATCTGCCTAGTGCAGGGATCAGGAAGGAGGTGGGGTATGAATGGTGGTGGTACAGGTAACATGGCTACTGTCACTACGAAGTATTCACAGCCAATAGGGAGACCATACGGGTTCAATCCTGAATTCAAGGTCAACCGGTCGGTTTCCATGTCAGATGTTAGGTTGTTCTCAGACCGCGTTGAACTAGGAGCCAATGGCTTCACGGTCTGCCGTTCGACATGCACAATTTGCCCAACAATGTAGTTAGGTTGATTTGGGAGATGATCAGTAAACAAGGCTACAGATTCAGCAGACAGGTAGTAGTTGGAGCAATTACGACTAATTGCCTCGTACTGCCCATATGTGTTTAGAACAAATGCAGCAATCTCGTGGACTTCCAAGCGGCTGAAAGATATCTTCTCTTTGTTTGCCTGCAGCAAGATTAAAAGTCGAATAACCACCTGTTAATTCATCACTCAGCCAGAACAGAATTCAGGTCACACTTGATGCCTAGGTGTCAACTCACTAAACCATGAGCAGAGAAAATTACATTCAACCATTTAACTTTTATTTTGGTATCAGGTAACTGATATTTCTTTTCCGTTGAACAAAATATCCCTCTATTATCAATTACCTGCTTCTCAAGTTGATGCTTTGTGTACAAAGTTTTAACCAGCCCCTTCTTCTCTTCCAAATCCTTTCTAAGTTGTTCATTTACAGCTTCAACCTTTGGATACTTGTCAAGCAGCTCTTCACGGTGCCTTGACAAGAAACCAACTCTATCTGCCAGAGCCCGAATACATTTCCGAAATTCAACAGTACCATCATCTTCACTGCCGTTAATAGAACTGAAACAATTCAAAGTATAATCAGAGTCATCTCCCATTGTCAATAACTGAACTAAAAGTATTCATTGAATGGACGTATCCACAAAAATTCCCGCAAACATGGACATCTTTCCATCCATTATAGTACTTTCTAGTGGTTTTTTTTTTTCAATGTACTTCTTTCGTTTCTTTTTCACATCAAAATGACCTGCTTTTGTTAAAAAAAATTTCAGGAGGAATGCTATCAAGGTTGCATGAGATATAGTGTCAGACAAGAATTACTGAGAAATACTAGAATTTGTTCAAAACAGTTAAAAGTAATAAGTGGTGTGGAAAACTTACTTGCCCAGAGATTGTGCCAAGGTGTGCAAAGATTCATTAAAACTAGCTACCCCACCCTGGGCATATACACAGCTCCTTAATCTTTCGAAGATGCCACGCATTTTCACAGCAGATGTGCGCAGCGCACTATACTCCGAGGCCCTGCGATCAGCCGCACAAAGATGGGTTTGAGCTTCCTCTCTTGCCTCGTGCAAACAATTCTCCAAGTGAGCACAATTCATCTGGCATGGGCAAAGCATGAAAATATACAATCAGAATATGGAAAAGCTAAGAATTAATAAAGCTAAATATAAGTTTTAACCACAGTTGTGTGCATGTGCTTTATGTAGCCATCAATGACTCAATGAGACACCGTCGTCATAATTGATGATTTTACCAACCACAACAACAACAACAACAAAGCCCTTTCCCACTAAGTGGGTCGGCTGTATGAATCCTAGAACGCCAATACGCTCGGTTCTGTGCCACGTCTTATGTTAGATCCAAGTACTCTTAAGTCTTTTCTTAGAGTCTCTTCCAAAGTCTTCCTAGGTATTCCTCTACCCCTTCGGCCCTGAACCTCTGTCCTGTAATCGCATCTTCTAACCGGAGCGTTAGTAGGCCTTCGTTTCACATGTCCAAACCACCATAACCGATTTTCTCTCATCTTTCCTTCAATTTCGGCTACTCCTACTTTACCTCGGATATCCTCATTCCTAATGTTATCCTTTCTCGTGTGCCCACACATCCAACGAAGCATTCTCATCTCCGATACACCCATTTTATGTACGTATTGATGCTTCACCGCCCAACATTCTGTGCCATAAAGCATTGCTGGCCTTATTGCTGTCCTATAAAATTTTCCTTGAGCTTCAGGGGCATACAATGGTCACACAACACGCCGGATGCACTCTAACCTTCATCCATCCAGCTTGTATTCTATGGATGAGGTCTCCATCCAACTCTCCGTTCTTTTGCAAGATAGATCCTTGGTAGCGAAAGCGGTCGCTCTTTAGTACTTCCTGATCTTCAATCCTCACCCCTAACTCATTTGAGCCTCCGTTTGCACTGAACTTGCACTCCATATACTTTGTCTTTGACAAACTTAGGCGAAAACCTTTAGATTCCAACACTTCTCTCCAAAGGTTAAGCTTCGCATTTTACCAACCAATAAGAAAAATTTGATTATTATGGTAGAAGTAGAATGAAAAATTAACGCTAACCAGCCTTCACCACAAAACCGTTTTTCTCCTCAATTCCTGTTGAAGTTCGAGTTTTCCAGTGCTCTCCCTTCCAACTAGAGGTTTTCAACCACTTCCATATCTACAGTACTATTTTGTTTTACAACTGGTCACAATTTTCTTGAATGTATTACAGTAGTTACATAAATTCTAAAAATACTGTGTAATTCTCACTTCATGAATGTATCATAGTAGTTACATTTATCCTAACATATACCAAAGCTTGAGTCTCATTGTAGAATAAGACATGCTTTTAAAAATATATTTAATAGGTTTACTTCATAAAAATAAAACAAATCACAAAAGGGTGAAATATTCACGTTCATCTTTTATCATAAACAAAATTAACACCTTGAAATCTCAAGCATTCAACCATGCTTCATATCCATGGAATCAAATCAATCCCTTCAACACCCCCAAAAATTTTGAAAATTTTTAGAATAATTCATGCTCGTAGTAGAGTATTGTTGCTGTATCCCAGTCAACAAAACAGAAAAGTTAATTATACTTCAATTTGAGTATCCAACGTGTTGGACAGTATTGTAGGGGTGTAGGTATCAGATACGCACCCTTCCCTACATTTCGAATATCTGGGGCAACATAGTATCTACCACGACAGCATAATCCAGCTTTTTTTAAACTATATATAGATTAAAAAGGGCAGAACCCTAGGGAAATAAAAGTCGCTCATTCTTTGCAAGAATT